CTGACTGAGCCACCCAGGTGCCCCTGGTGAGTGTTTTTTTAATGCCACCTCCAACAAAACTAGGATTATGTCAGTACAGGAAAGGAGAGTGTGGATAGTTCTATTGTGTCTCTGGCAGAACTGTGTGTTCTCCGGCTTCTAATCCTTTGCAGCTATCATTTTCTCGGATCTTTTTCCCTCCCTTCTAGGTGAACTTTCAAAGGACATTCTCCAAAATGGATTTTAATTCTGTTCTTGGATTTTAGTTTTCCTGTAATATTTTCTGATCTCATTCATCTTTCCCCTTCTAACTTATCCTACTCTCTTTTCATCTTGGTTTTTTTCTGTGTGACTTTTTTTTTTTCATTTTTAATGTTTATTTATTTTTGAGAGAGAGAGAGAGAGAGAGAGAGAGAGAGAGAGAGAGACAGAGCATGAGTTAGGGGGAGAGGTACAGAGAGAGGGAGACACAGAATCGGAAGCAGGCTCCAGGCTCTGAGCTGTCAGCACAGAGCCCGACGTGGGGCTCGAAGTCCCAGACTGCGAGTCGGCCGCTTAACCAACTGAGCCACGCAGGCGCCCCTCTCTGTGTGACTTTTTGCTTGCTTCTCACAGAAGCCGGAGTTTCTCCATGTCATGTTATAGTGGACACTTCTGTGGAATGCCTGCTCAGCCCATCGCCCTCCCCTCCCCTTGAGGAATAGGCTTCGGGGCATTAGGAGGACCATTTTGATACTATGCTATCTATCCTGCGTCCTTAAACCGAGCTGAGTGGACCAATGGCAGTCAATTGACTCATCCTATCAGATTAGATGATCTCCCCCTGGGAGTACAAAATTGGAATTTAAAAGGACTATTTTAATCTGGTTGGAAATAGATGTTATTTCAGGAGTATGAGGCAGGCATCCAGTGGGATGCTGGTAGACGTTTAACAGCCAACTCTTTGTGAAAAATAAATGAGTATATATATAACAAAGCTTACTGATGTATAGCATATAATTTATATATAATAAAATATATAATACTCTATTGCAAATCCCACATAGCCAATTGATTCTAATGGAGAGCTTTCACTCTCCATGATTTTTGCTGAGTTCTTGTATTTGTGGCAAAACTTTAGTCATAATTGTTGGATGAGGATAATTCCAACATGAATGTTATGAACATAAATTCTCATTTATGTTGTGTTATCTTAGGAAGGCAAAAATAAAACAACAAAGACCTATTTCAAAACTTTTCTTGTTAGTGATAGGAGGACTTCTTTGCTGCAAAGGGTAATAGTTTTGGAACATTTGCTCAAATTTTTGTGCTATTCCCAATGCAAAGGCTATGGTGCATTAAAAAAAATTTTTTTAAATGTTTATTTATTTTTTGAGAGAGAGATTGATAGAGTGAGCAGGTGAGGAGCAGAGAGAGAGAAGAAGAAGACACAGAATCCGAAGCAGGCTCCAGGCTCCGAGCTGCCAGCACAGAGCCGGATGCGGGGCTCGAACCCACAGACCGTGAGATCATGACCTGAGCCGAAGTCGGCTGCTTAACCGACTGAGCCACCCAGGCTCCCCTATATAATTTAATTTTTTTTTTAATTTTTTTTTCAATGTTTATTTATTTTTGGGATAGAGAGAGACAGAGCATGAACGGGGGAGGGGCAGAGAGAGAGGGAGACACAGAATCGGAAACAGGCTCCAGGCTCCGAGCCATCAGCCCAGAGCCCGACGCAGGGCTCGAACTCACGGACCGCGAGATGGTGACCTGGCTGAAGTCGGACGCTTAACCGACTGCGCCACCCAGGCGCCCCTAATTTAATTTTTAATAACAGGCATGCCTAACAGCCAGTCTACAAAATTCCTGCAAATAACAATGGGCTTTCAAGAGTCTATAAGAACCAGCTCCAGTGCACGGCTGCAGCCAAGCTCTGCCACAGGCCTAGGAAGCAGAGGAAGCCAGTGGGCAGAACCAGAGGGAGAGAGGAAGGGGTGGCAGGAGGAGGGGAAAGAGAAGGAGGAAGAGAAGAATGAGAACAAAGCAAAAATACAAAGAAAGGCAAAGAGGAGAGTGGTTGGGGGACCATGGCGTGCATTCCTGACTTGTCCAACTGCTTGGTTCCAGTCACTCCTTCAGCCTCACGCAATTCTGCATTTCTATATTATAGGGATGTACTTCATATCCTTCTCACAAATTCTTCTTTTTCCTTGTGTTTCTTTTTTTACACTTTATTAAGACCAAGTTGGTAAATCCAAACCAGCTTAAGATTAACACTTGCTGTTCATGCGGGACATCTGGGTGGCTCAGTCAGTTAAGCGTCCGACTTGGGCTCAGGTCATGATCTCACATTTCATGAGTTCAAGCCCCGCAACCGGCTCTGTGCTGGCAGCTCAGAGCCTGGAGCCTGCTTCGGATTCTGTGTCTCCCTCTCTCTGTACCTCTCCCCCTAACTCATGCTCTGTCTCTCTCTCTCTCTCTCTCTCTCCCTCAAAGATAAATAAACAATAAAAAAAAAGAAAAAACCTTGCTGTTCATACACTGAATTCTATGTTGAGGACTTTTAGGATACAATGACAAAAGATAAAATATTTATATCAATTAACATTTAGAGTCACAGTGCTAGCCACCCGACGTGTAAACTTCCCCAAATGTCTTTGACCCAAAGTTCTATATGACATGTATAGTGCTTCACCATAACACTGGTGCTTTTGTGCCTGCTTGATATTGAATTATGGAATTGTTTGTAAACGTAGCATTTAACTAAGCTTCTCTGTTTCCAAATTCTTCTTGATTTCAACTGAAGTACAGAGGTGTGTGGGAGGGCAACGTAGAGTGAGGTTGAGTTTTCTGGTTTGTTGTTTACATATGCTTTGCAGTTGTGTTTAATGATGGTTATGATGTGGGTTACACTTGATTTTAGTCAAAATTATTTACAAATTACATCGTCAAAATTCCAGCCTTTCCTTTGAAGGAGCGGTCAGTTTCGCGTGAAAAGATAACAACGGTGATGAGGTTTTGTTCTCAAGTGAGACATTAGATCAAAGATCATATAAGTGGGGGAGAGGGGCAAAGGGAGAGAGGAAGGCGGAGGAGGGAGAGAGATGGGGGGGGAGAGAGAGAGAGAGAGAGAGAGAGAGAGAGAGAGAGAGAATCTCAAGCAGGCTCCATGCTCAGCATGGAGCCCGACGTGGGGCTTTATTCCACAATCCGGGGATCACGACCTGAGCTGATATTAAGAGTTGGACACTTAACCAAATGAGCCACCCAGGTGCCCCAAGTGAAAGATGATTGAATGAACCCCCATGTATGTATCATCTACCTTCAACAATTACTAACTCCTGGTCCATTTTGCTTCATATACAGACTCTTCTCCCACTGGATAACTATAAAGGAAATGCCAGACATAATGTCATTTTCATCCACAAATAAGGAAATTTAAAAAAAAATGTATTCCCAGTCTTAATTTGGCTTATGCGATCGCACTTAATATTAGTACCAAATTTTTTTCAAGTTCTATTTATTTTTTAGTGATCTTTACACCCAACGTGGGGCTCAAACTCACAACCCCGAGATTGAGTTACTTGCTCCGCCCACTGAGCCAGCCAGGTGTCCTCAGTATAATAATCTTAAGCTTCCTCTCTTGAGAAATCCTGGGGGCCCTCGGTGGTCACGAATGAATCAAGCCAGATGCCCAGGAAAGACCCCTTTCCTCGTTTAAGCTGTTTTAAGTTCGCAAGCACAACAATGTGTAACACAATTGCAGTTTTCTTTGTGGGGTGTGCCCAGTTTCCAGCCACGCTTCTGCTGAGTCCCCCAAAGCCATTCCTTTTCCTCGGTTTTATTTTCTTTGGCCCTGCGGTTTTTCCTTTTTACCACTTGGAACACCAGGTTCAGAGTAGATCCCAGGGATCTGTGTTTTTAAGAATCATCTGGGTAAACCTTGCATCCGGTACATTTGAAAAAGACCAAGGTGGGAGATCCTTGGACCACACAGAGGCCTCCCTGCTCCACCAGCCCGTGGAGGGACTCTCAAGGATTTCTCTCTGTGTCACCCTCTAGGCCACCAGCGGAGCCTCTCAGCTCTCCCTTTGAAACACACTCAAGAGTCAGATCCCTCCTCACCAAATCCACGGCTACCACACCTCAGTGGAGACAACCATCTTCTGTCCTCTGGATTATTGCAGGCGCCCCCTGATGGGTGCCCCTCACCACCATTGCTTTCCTATAGTCTATTCTATTCTCAAAATTCCTATGTTGAAGCCCTAACCCCCCCAGTGCCTCAGAATGTGACTGTATTTGGAGACAGGGCCTTTAAGACATAATTAAGTTAAAATTTGGTCAGTAGGGCGGGCCCTAATCCAATTATGACTGGTGTCCTTAGAAGAGGGGATCCGGACATAGACACGCACAGAGGGAGGACCACGTGAAGTCACAGAGAGAAGACAGACGGCCCCCTGCAAGCCAAGGAGAGAGGCCTTGGGAGGAACCCACCTGTCCGCCCCTTGATCTCAGACTTCCAGCCCCCATGTGAGAAAAGACATTTTTGTTGTTTAAGCTCCCCTATCCGTGGTACTTGGTTATGGTACCTGTAGCAAACTAATACACCATTGGAGAATGGCTCCTGATCCCACCTCGAGAAAAGGCCAAAATTTGTACTCAAACCTACCAAGCCCTAAATGATAAATGTACCAGATTAGGTGCCCACTGTTTGGAAACTCACCGTTACCGCAAGTTGGAAGGCTGAGGAACTGCCATTGTCACATGAAAATGGGATCAACACAGTTACTGCTGCCGCAGGAAAAATCCAGAGTAGGAAGGAAAATTAGTCATCAAAAAGTATTAACTTTGGGTGCCTGGGTGGCTCAGTCGGTTAAGGTCTCAGGTCAAGATCTTGTGGTTCCTGGGGCGCCTGGGTGGCTCAGTCGGTTAAGCGTCCGACTTCAGCTCAGGTCACGATCTCGCGGTCCGCGAGTTCGAGCCCCGCGTCGGGCTCTGGGCTGATGGCTCAGAGCCTGGAGCCTGCTTCCGATTCTGTGTCTCCCTCTCTCTCTGCCCCTCCCCGGTTCATGCTGTGTCTCTCGCTGTCTCAAAAATAAATAAACGTTAAAAAAAAATTAAAAAAAAAAAAAAAAAAGATCTTGTGGTTCCTGAGTTCGAGCCCTGCACTGGGCTCTCTGCTGTTAGCACAGAGCCTGCTTCGGATCTTCCGTCTCCCTCTCTCTCTGCCCCTCTCCCACGTGCTCTCTCTCTCTCTCTCTCTCAAAAATAAATAAGCATTTAGGGGCACCTGGGTGGCTCAGTCGGTTAAGCCTCTGACTTCGGCTCAGGTCATGATCTCACGGTTTATGGGTTCAAGCCCCACATTGGGCTCTGTGCTGTCAGCTCAGAGCCTGGAGCCTGCTTTGGATTCTCTGTCTTCCTCTCTCTCTGCCCCTCCCCTGCTCACACACACTCTCTCTCTCCCTCAAAAGGAAGTAAACCTCAAACAATTTTTAAAAAAAGTAAAAGTAAATAAATACATATTAACCTTCACGGTGGTCACATAAATTAACATCTCATCTCAGAACGCTTAGCCAACTCTGCCTCACCTTTCTGGTCCGCTCTTCAATGGAGATGTTGGGGACAATCCCTTGGCCCTTTGTAGACCCGGCAGGACCACACAAATCGCCCTTCGTCGTCCGAACTGGGTATTGACGGTGGGTGAAGGACTGAAACGCAGCGACAGGCCATTGCTCATTGGAACGGAAGGACCGTCCATCTGTAGCCCGGCTGCACTGTTCCGAGTGCCGAGATGTTCCAACTGTGGCACGTAGGCTGGGAGAGCCGGCTGGCTCCTGTCTGGGGCGGGCAGCTGATATTCCAGCCAGGAAATGAACTGCCTCTCCTAATTGGCGCTGCTGCTCTTCAGGGGGAAGGCAGATTTAAATGACCTGCTTCGGGCAGGGAGGTGGGGCAGGAAAGGAGAGACGGTTTGGGTGAAGAGCTTAAATGAAGACGGAGAGAATGTTGCAGGTGCCATCCGGGTCCCGCTTACCTGATTAGGTTGCTTGGGCGGCCAAGACCCAGTGGCTTTGCCGACAGAAAATGTGTTTTCTCACCGTTCTGGAGGTTGGGACGTCCGACATCAAGGTGTCAGCAGGACTGGTTTCTTCTGAGGTCTTTTCCCCTTGGTTTGCAGATGGTGGCCTTGTCTCTGTGCACGTGCACATCCCTGGTGTCTCTCTGTGGGTCCTAATCTCCTCTTGGACACCGGTCAGACAGGATTAGGGTCTACCCTAATCGGCTTCCTTTTAATTTAATCACCTCTGGAAAGGCCCTGTGTCTAAATACAGCCACATTCCGAGGGCCTGCGGGTTAGTGCTTCAGCATATGAATTTGGGGGTGGAATACAATTCAGCCCCTAACACCTGCCTGGGGCAACCCTCTCCCCACTGTTGAGTGCTTGTTGCTAGTGACTTTCAGCTGTCCCCTTCTCCGGAGACTTGTTCTGGGCCTTCTGGGCCAACCAGGGTTCCCTTACCCGAGTGGTTCCTCTTACACTACTGTGTAAAAGGCTGGCCCTCTTGCCTCAAGGTGAGACCAACGCATTGGGGCTATCTGCTATGGAGCTGTCTTTGGGGTCACGGTAAGGCCAGATTCCACATGGAACCACAGCCTCCTTAGCTTCTTCCTCTGCACCATTATGCTTCCCTCGCTCCCCTCCCTCTGGGAGCACTTCTCCAGTGAGTCACAGACACCTGGATCCCTGCCTCAGGCTCTGCTTCCAGGGGACCCGATTGAAGGCAGTGTTATCTTAGATCTTCTTCAGAACTACTCCAATTTTAACCCTAGAATCTAAGAATGGAAAATGGAAGTTTCTGTCACTGCATTTTGTCTTCTCCATCTTTGAAAGGCCCTTGAATCTGTCCCCTCCTCTTCATTCCTTCAACCACTATCCTAACTCAGGGCATCATCACCTCTTGCCTAGACAACAGCTCACAACAAGGCTCCCTGCCTCAATTTCTCCACATTTTCTTCAGAGTGCCTTTTGGTAAAACTATTAGGATTAACTTTGATGTGGCTTAAAGCCTTTTAATACCTACCCAGCTGCTCCTGATAACACCCTCCAGCACTCACCCTTCTCTGCCTGCAGCAGACAGTCCATATTCTTTAGCATGGCCTTCAAGGCCCTTTCCAGCAGGCCCCTCCTCACGTTTCCAGTCCCCAGGTGGGGTGTTAACTCATGTGGCCTGCATAAGGCAGTCTAAGAAGTGCAGGTGTAGACAGCCTCTGCTAGTCGTTGGATGAAGGATGTATGTCCTCCCTAGTCCAGAGGCACACGTCAAGGCTCTGTCCTTCGTCCTTCCCAAGCACTTATCTGTGCACGACAGGAGAACAGGGGGACAGGCTGCTCTGATCTGCCGACAGTAAGAATCCCAGAGGGGCAGCAGAAACACTGGATCGCAGAATCAGGACACGAACACGCTGAGAAGTCGAAGTGAAGGACTGACTCTAACCATTAGTCTAAATAAGATTTGATCAAGACAAGAGAGTTCATAGGAGTATATTTGAGAATAGGGCCTCGGGCAGCGTGGCCTACGGTACCTGTTCCAGAGCATTATCCCTGTGCCCCACAGAAGGGTTCCATTCCAGATGAGCTTGGGAAACACAACCTTGCTTTTCCCTCCTGTTATAAAGTCAGTTAAACCACCAGAAAATACAGAGGCTCTGAGATGCCATAGGAGCCCTTTCTCTTTGTTTAATCCACCAGTCCTCAAACAGACCCCTTTCTGTATATCATATATCAATACCCACAGAATTGGTGCTCCATGGAACCCGGTGTGAGAAACTCTGGCGCGGGGTTTCCTTTCCTTTCCTTTCCTCTCTCAACACGTGTGGTGGGGTGGGGGACAGAAGGACAAGCATCTGAATAGCTGGAGAAGACCCCAGAAGAGGAAAAAGACTCCGGGGGAATCCCCTCCCTCCACAGGTACCACCAGGTCACTGCTATCAAATTTTTACCAGAGCATCCACGAAAAGAGGAACCAAAATGTCTTTGAGAGGGACCAGAGAACGGTTCAGAGACAGGTGGATTAGTTTCAGAAAAGTGAAAAGTAAAAAGTCAGACAAGCTGTGCCCTCGGATCCCTAGGCAATAGAACTACAAATTAATAAGAAGAATTTAACCCAAAATGGGTTAACGTGAAAAATTTTACAAAAGCTTTCTAAATGAGTCTTGGTTTCTTGTTTTTTGGTTTTTTTTTTAATTTTTTTTTTCAACGTTTATTTATTTTTGGGACAGAGAGAGACAGAGCATGAACGGGGGAGGGGCAGAGAGAGAGGGAGACACAGAATCGGAAACAGGCTCCAGGCTCCGAGCCGTCAGCCCAGAGCCCGACGCGGGGCTCGAACTCCCGGACCGCGAGATCGTGACCTGGCCGAAGTCGGACGGTTAACCGACTGCGCCACCCAGGCGCCCCGAGTCTTGGTTTCAAAAGGAAGTTGAAAAAACAAATTACATACTATTCAGAAATAACCACTAATTAGAGAGCTACATGTCAGAACCTGGGCGATGTGGCTAAAGCAGTACTTCGGACAATGCATACCCACAGGTGCATTGATAACAAAACAAGAAAGACAGATGATATTAGGTGAACAAAGTTTCCAACCTAAGAAGCCGGCATGCGAAGAGCAAAATCAATCCAAAGGAAGTAGAAGCAGAAATCATTAAAGATAAAAGCAGAAATAAATAAAAGAAAAACAAATTAAACACAATAGTACATTTGATCAATCAAAGCCGATGGTAATTCACTGAAAGAAGAACAATAGACATTTTTTTTTTTTTAAAGAACATTCAGGGGCGCCTGGGTGGCTCAGTCATTTAAGAGTCTAGGGGCGCCTGGGTGGCTCAGTCGGTTGGGCGTCCGACTTCGGCTCAGGTCACGATCTCACAGCTCGTGAGTTCGAGCCCCGCGTCGGGCTCTGTGCTGACAGCTCAGAGCCTGGAGCCTGTTTCAGATTCTGTGTCTCCCTCTCTCTGACCCTCCCCCATTCATGCTCTGTCTCTCTCTCTCTCAAAAATAAATAAACGTTAAAAAAAAAAAAAAGAGAGTCTGACTTCAGCTCAAGTCATGATCTCACAGTTCGTGGGTTCGAGCCCCACATCGGGCTCTGTGCTATCAGCGCAGGGTCTGCTTTGGATTCTCCGTCCCCCTCTCTCCCTGCCCCTCCCTGCCTGCACTTCTTTCTGTCTCTCTCAAAATAAATAAATAAATAAACTTAAAAAAAAAAAAGAACATTCACTCTTTTTTTTTTATTAAGTTTATTTTTTAAATTTTTTTCCACAGAGATAGAGAGCAAACAGGGGAGGGACAGAGAGAGAGGGAGACAGAATCCCAAGCAGGCTCCGTGCCCGCAGTGCAGAGCCTGATGCGGCCCTCGAACTCATGAGCCTGGAGATCATGACCTGAGCCAAAATCAAGAGTCCGACGCTTAACCGACTGAGCCACCCTGATGCCCCTAAAATAGACATTTTTGGAAAGTGCTATCAAAGAAAAAAAGGAGGCAGTAAGTACAAGAACAACAAAGCATAGATATTTGAACAGATAGAAAATATCACGTACAATTTGTAGCAATAAATTTGAAAATTGAGACACAAGCTATGATTTTTGTGAGGGAAATATAAATATCCAGGAGACATATGCAAAGATGGAAAATATTATAGGAAAGCAGGTTTGATTTCATCATATGCAATGACTTCCTAACAAATTGGAATGGTCCGTGAATGATATCACCTATGCTTCTAGGCAGGGAGTATCATAGGCCCAGATGCTGGTTGACCAGTTGTCAGGAGCAATGAAGTTGGTGCTGTCGAGGGGGACTGGAAAGAGAGAATTCTCCATTTCTTTGGTTTCCGTGATCCACCTCCCTTAGCTGTTTGTTGTTTTTGCCAATGGCCCTGGTTATGGGTAGCAAAGTTGCTCTGACAATCTCATAAGGACTAGTAAGCAGCAGAGAGGCGGTGGGTATGATCAGGAGGCCAGAGCAGAGGCCCCTCACTACTACCAGCCTCCCAGGTTCCCAGGATACATTTAGGGATGCTTCTGGAATAATTGGGTTAAAGTCAGGTCAGGGCCCATCTAATGACTGCACTCTGGGGCAGGGCTCTGACACGAAGGACAGGAAGTGACCAGCCCACAGAATGGACCATAAAGGCTGTGACTCACTGGTGGTCATGGGACGCAGGTCATGCCCCCAGTAGGCCAGATACCACAACTATGGGTCCCATTGTGGAGATGGGCAGTCCCGGCATGGGAGGTAGGCTGCATTGGTGATGTCCATGCCTGTGAGCACCAGAGAAGCAGGAACTGCCCTGAGCAAGGGGGAGAGGGACCGCCACGCAGTGGAAGGAGCCCGCAAAGTGTCACAGTTTTGGCCTCTGCCCTCACCCCTTGTTCGGTTCTGCCCACACACCCACACTGACCCAGACTGGGAAACATCACAGCCTTGCCCAGTCATGGTCAAACCAGTCATGGCCAGCAAACCAAGGAGGTGACGCATCATTGCCACACTGGCAGGCCTCCTGGACTGGGCTGGGACTGGCCGGCCAAGTCCCGGGTACTGGCCTTGGGCCATTTTGCCAGCCAGGCAGGGTGGAGTCACTCTCCCTTGAAGGACACTGCCTTCCCTGATGGAGGATGTGAAACGTTTCTCTGTCCTCCTAGAGTTTTGAAGGCATCTGAGAAGGGGCAAGACTGGGGAGCAGAGAAAGGAACATTTCTTTGTAAACAAAATCTGTCAAAACCCCAAACATACCCGAAGAACCTTCTTCCGGTTAGTCACACCTGTGATTCCCAGAATTTATGCCTGAATGTTTCTGGGATCAGACAGAACCTCCCCACTCAGGTCAGCTCGCAGACATGTGCGTGCTCATCTCCCCCACTGACTTCTTTATATTCCCACCCCTCCCCAGCCGGGTCCCCAGCTACCAACCCGTCCAGATCTGAGCCCCTATTTACAGGCGCTGGGTGTTCCCATTGACCTAAAATGAAGCTACTGTTTCAGCTGGTCTTGGCTTGAGTTCCAACAAAAGTACATTCTGGCTACGGGGAGTTTGGAAATGATTCCAGGAAGAGGTGGGGGAAGTGATACAGAGAAGGAAAGAAATCCGAGGAAGAGAAGCCAGAGGAAGTTGTCTCGATCACCCGGAAATGTCACCGGTGAGGAAGCGCAGTCCACCCACTCCGCCACAGTCTTGTCCCAGGTGAGCCGAGGGCTATGGCAGGTGGCGGGTGGTGTTCGCACAGCACCGTGATTCCACTCGTCCAGATGGAAATGCAAAGCAGTATTTCATTATTGAGTGGGAGAAAACTCAACAAATATTTGCGTAAGAGGATTTTTGCTCACCCTGGGCGAATAGCCCGGCAGGTTTTGTTGGTTGGTTGGGATTGGGGGTAGTGGTTGCTCTGGAGCAAATGTGGCAGAGAAAAAGAAAACAGGCTTCTCAGAAGATGTTGGGGATTTTTACATTTGTGTTTGTTTTTCTTTGTTTGCTAGGAGCCGGCAATGCCCTGTTTCTAGGTGAATGACAATGGGATGGTTGTCAGGAGGTACTCAAAAGTCAGGTGATCATGTATCTGTAGAAGCCCCAGAAATGACAGTAAAACTTTGAAGTGGGAATGTATTTGACTCCGGCCATTAGGGAATGCCTTGGCTCAGGAAATACGCATCACTGGGCTACGTGTGGCTCTAATGCAGGGCTGGGGAAGTGAGAATTCAGAAATACACTGATAGAAACGGGTGCGGAGAGGGGGGAGCTGGAGAAAGACGGGGAATTAACATACATATGAGGATATACAGATCTTTAATTACAGTGATACATATAACAAGGTGAACGTAGACACCAATATGTGCGCTTAGAGAAAGATATACAGAGATATACAAAGAGGTTCACATATGTAGAGGAGAGTTTATTTACCTGTGTGTGGTGAGATAGCTCCTGGATGTTTTCCCTTTCTGCTTATCTACTATAATCTGCTTTTCCAGAATGGACTTGCATCATTTGTCCAAAAAGAAGGTTTAAAAAAAAAAAAAAAAAGATTGAAGATATAGAAAAAGTACAAAACAGCTCGTAGGAAAGGCTTCAGACTGGCGGACACTTTGAATTAATCTCCTATCTAGTTAGTGTTGAGGCAAATAGAGGACTTTCTGCATCACGGAGGAGGGAATATTGGTTATCCCGAAGAAAAAAGAGAAGTTATGTCCATGGTCCCAAACAGCTAATAACATACCTTGCTATGTTTCTGTCTGTGAAATAGTGGACTCCTGAAAAGCGGCAGTCTTCGACGAATGTCCAGTTTGCAATCCAGCTTTTCTAGGAGGACAGGAGCGATTCTTTGTGGGGATTCCTGATCCCAACAGCTGTCTACATGCACGTTGCTCTCAACGTCTGTGGCACATTTAAATAAATCAAACGAACAGGTCCATAATTAAATGGACTCGTTTGATTATAAACAACTTTTCATCCTTTGAGAGAGGCTTTGAAATATGAAGCATCAAAAGTTATCACTAACCAGAAGTGGGGACTAAGATAGTTTAGAAAAGGCATTGTATTTGTTTGTTGCTGTGTAAAAATTATCATTAACTTAGCAGCTTAAAACCACATCTGTGTAGGGGTGCCTGACTGGCTCAGTCAGTAGAGCATGTGACTCTTGATCTGGGGGGGTTGTGAGTTCAAGCCCCACGTTGGGGATAGAGTTTACTTTAAAAACAAAACAAAACAAAACAAAACAACACCTATTTATTATCTCACACTTCTGTACATCAGACATCCAGGCAGTCCTGGCTGGGTCTTTATTTATTTATTTAAAAGTATTTTTGTTTATTTATTTGCTTATTTATTTAGAGAGAGCACGAGCAGGGGAAAGGCAGCGAGGGAGGGAGGGAGGGAGGGAGGGAGAGAGAGAGAATCCCAAGCAGGCTCCACAGTGTCAGCACAGAGCCCGACGCAGGGCTTGAACTCACGAACCGTGAGATCATGACCTGAGCCAAAACCAAGAGACTGATGCTCAACCGAGTGAGCCACCCACGCACCCCATTGGCTGGGTCTTCTGCTCAGGGTCTCACAAGGTTGAAATCAAAGCCTGGGTAGGGATACATTCCTCTCTGGACGCCCTCCTGGGACAGAATCCACTTCCAAGCTCCTTTAGGTACCGGCAAAATTCAGTTCCTTCCTGCTGCAGGACTGAGGACCCCGTTCCTCATTGGCCGTCGATGGGGGGCCTCTCTCTCGGTTCCTTAATGCTGCCCACATGCCTTCCCAGGTGGTTCTCGCAATCTTCAACCCAGGAATGACATATCAATTCATTCTCACGCTCCGAATCTCTTTTTCTTCTGCCTTCTGCTGCTGCTTTGTAAAAGACTCATTGTGATTAGATCAGCCCTACCCAGATAACCTCTGTGTGTTAACATCTGTGGATTGGGAACTTTAACTACAATTGCAAAATCCCTTGACAGCAGGGTCGAGGTTATTTGATTGACTAACTAGGGGATGAGAATGTGGAGTGGAGAGAATCCCATCTTTAGAATTCTGCCTACTGTAGGCATAAAATGGACCATGGAGGCATAAGAGGGACCATATGCCCCACTTAAAAAAAATAACCCAAAGTGTCATTTTCAGCGTATAGAGAACTTATTAAGATAATGTTAAGTGGTATTAGAATGTAAAATAATGTATGTTATGGGGCTCCTGGGTCATTCAGTCCCGTTGGGCATCTGACTCTTGATTTCTGCTCAGGTCACGATCTCACAGTTTTCCTGAGTTCAAGCCCCACAACAGGTTCTGCGCACGACCACACGGAGCCTGCTTGGAATTCTCCCTCTCTCCCTCTCTCTCTGCCCCTCCCTGGCTCGAGCTCTATCTTTCTCAAAATAAATAAATAAATAAATAATTTAAAAATGTACATGATAATTATAATTTAAATATTAATATAAATTACAAATATTGTGTATCATTTAAGTATTAATTATCATTTTAAGTAAGGTATTTGTCTGCCGTTAGTTCAGCAGATACATTTTTTTATTTTTATTTTTATTTTTTTTTAACGTTTATTTATTTTTGAGACAGAGAGAGACAGAGCATGAACAGGGGAGGGGCAGAGAGAGAGGGAGACACAGAATCGGAAGCAGGCTCCAGGCTCTGAGCCATCAGCCCAGAGCCCGACGCGGGGCTCGAACTCACGGACCGCGAGATCGTGACCTGGCTGAAGTCGGACGCTTAACCGACTGCGCCACCCAGGCGCCCCAGATACATTTTTTTTAAAGAGCTTAAGAAAGAGTTGTATATGGATGAACAAAATGTGATATATACGTACGACGGATATTATGCAGCCTTAAAACGGAAGGACGTTCTGACACCTGTTGCAACGTGTTATAACACCTGAGGACAGTGTGCTAAGCGAAATAAGCCAGTCACAGAAAGACAAATATTGTTTGGTTCCTCTAATATGAAGTACTAGAGGCAGAAAGCAGAGTGGCTGCGGGGGGCGGGGCGGGGAAGGGGAGGTGGGGGGAGGGGTGGGGGGAGGGGAGGGGGGATGGGAAGTTGCTTAGCGGGTGCAGTTTCTGTTGTGCAAGATGAAGGGTTCTAGAGATGGACCGTGAGGATGGCAGCAGGGTAAATGTCCTCAATGCCACTGAACAGCACACTTCAAAATGGTTAAGATCTGGGTGCCTGGGGGGCTCAGTCGGTTAAACGTCAGGCTTCAGCTCCGGTCATGACCTCCCAGTTCTGGAGCTCTAGCCCCGCCTGGGGCTCTGTGCTGACAGCTCAGAGCCTGGAGCTTGCTTCAGATTCTGTGTCCCTCTCTCTCTCTCTGCCCCTCCCCTGCTCACAGGCTCTCTCTCAAAAATGAAAAACATTTAAACAATTTTTTAAAACTAAGTCTAAGTAATTCTTGTTTATAGTATTAGAAGACATTACTAATGTTATTAGAAGAATCAGAATTGATTTAATTAGTTATTTAATTAGAATAATTCAGTTATTAAAAGAATTAGAATTTATTGTTATTTTTTTAAGAATTGGAATTTTTAAAATATTTATTTGTTTTTGGGAGAGAGAGAGAGAGCAGGGGAGGGGCAGAGAGAGAGGGAGACACAGAATCCAAAGCAGGTTCCAGGCTCTGAGCTGTCAGCACAGAGCCCGACGTGAGGCTTGAACTCATGAACCACGTGATGATGACATGAGCCAAAGCTCGTCCTCAACTAACTGAGCCACCCAGGCTCCCCGAGAATTAGGATTTTTTTTGAAATGTTTATTCACCTATTTTGAAAGAGAGACAGGGGCGCCTGGGTGGCGCAGTCGGTTAAGCGTCCGACTTCAGCCAGGTCACGATCTCGCGTTCCGGGAGTTCGAGCCCCGCGTCGGGCTCTGGGCTGATGGCTCAGAGCCTGGAGCCTGTTTCCGATTCTGTGTCTCCCTCTCTCTCTGCCCCTCGCCCGTTCATGCTCTGTCTCTCTCTGTCCCAAAAATAAATAAACGTTGAAAAAAAAAATTAAAAAAAAAAAAAAGAAAGAAAGAGAGACAGAAAGAGGGAGGGGCAGGTGGGGGGGGGGTGTGGAAAGAGATTCCCAGTGCGAAGCTGAGCCCTATGCAGGGCTAGATCTCATGAACTGCGAGATCATGACCTGAGCTGAAATCAAGAGTTGGAGACGCTTAACCAACTGAGCTACCCAGGCGCCCCAAGAATTAGAATTTTAAAGTAACTCATGACAGGGGCGCCTGGCTGGCTCCGTCAGAAGAGCAAGCAACTCTTGATCTTGGGGTCATGAGCTCGAGTCCCACATGGGGTATAGAGATGACTTAAATACACGAACTTAATAAAAATAAAAATAACTCGTTACAAATAATAAGACCTACAAGTTCAAATGATTTAAATAGAAACTGGAAGGCGAGAGAAGAGAAAGAAAACTTGGGCTTTCGCGACCTTACGAAATAGAAGTCAATAGAGTCTGTTTCATTGGTGACGTCTGGCCTGGAAGGCGAATTCAAAGGTCTCTACATTTTAAAGGTGACACATAGAATCAAGATGAGAACTATAACTTCCAAATTACTGGATGGAGAGGAAAAAACTCAAGGGGGGCAGTGCAAATCCCGCTGGTCCGCAAAAGGTGAACTGCTAAGCTTCAAATCTTGGCCCTCCCACTTTCAAAGAGTAACTGTGAAGAGCGCAAGAGAGAGAACGTACGTACGACACGATCTCGGTGGGAACACAGCAGTACTCCACGATTGCTGCCACGCAGAAATGTATGGGTCCAAGAAGGAGAAAGGAAAGGAGCTAGCATTTCTGAAAGCCTGTTGTGACTAAGCCTTTGCCAGCTCTTTTAGGTCCGTTACCCTACCTCACCCCCCCATGACAACCGTAATTTTATGCCAGTTTTACATCTGATGTCAAGTCATTTCCATACCTTCACACAAAGAGTTCAGCGGCGGATCCCGAATTTCAACCCCGGAATAATTGACTCTAGGGAAGAAATTCTTGAGCCTGGTGAGACAAGACTGGGACAGAATACGAAGAGGGCTGGTTATTTATTTATTTATTTATTTTAATGTTTATTTATTTTTGAGAGAGTGCAAGCAGGGGAGGGGCAGAGAGAGAGGGAGACACAGACTCCGAAGCAGGCTCCAGGCTCCGAGCTGTCAGCACAGAGCCTGATGCGGGGCTTGAACTCACAAACCGCGAGATCACGACCTGAGCCGAAGTCGGATACTCCACCAACTGAGCCACCCACCAGGTGCCCCTATGTTTTTATTTTTGTTTTTTAGAGAGAGAGAGAACGAGAGCATGAATGGGGGGAGGGGCAGAGGGAGAAAGAGAACCTTAGGCAGGCTGCAAGCTCAGTGCACAGCCCAACGTGGGACTCGATCCCATGACCCTGGGATCATGACCTGAGCCGAAATCAGACTCTCAACCGACTGAGCCACCCAGGTGCCTTGAGGGCTGGTAATTTTTAAAGTATTCCTGTAAGTTTCTTTATCGTTGTTAGGCTATCTTTTCCGTAAAAACTAGGGTCATTAAGCCTGTCAAACAACCTGTAAATTCATTATTGGCAAGTCTGAAAATTGGTATACAGAATAGCATGTGCACAATTACATGCAAAACGCATTCACATGACAAAAACTGGAATGATGTGTGTGAGGGTCATGTTAAGGGAGTGGGTCGCCGGGGATTACTTTTATTTACAATGTTTTAATGTTATGTTTGAATCCTTTTTCTTTTTTTTTTTTTTTTATTATTTTTTTAAAAAAAAACTTTTTTAAAGTTTTTTTTTGGTAAATTTTTTTTTAATGTTTTTTTTTTTTTTTTTTTTTTTTGAGACAGAGAGAAACAGAGCATGAGCGGGGTAGGGGCAGAGAGAGAGGGAGACGCAGAATCAGAAGCAGGCTCCAGGCTCTGAGCTGTCAGCACAGAGCCTGATGCGGGACTCGAACCCATGAATCATGAGATCATGACCTGAGCCGAAGTCGGACACTCAACCGACTGAGCCACCCAGGTGCCCCTAAATTTGTTTTTAATGTGTATTTATTTTTGAGAGAGAGAGAGACAGAGCATGAGGAGGGGAAGAGCAGAGAGAGAGGGAGACACAGAATTCGAAGCAGGCTCCAGGCTCCGAGCTATCAGCACAGGGCCCCATGCGGGGCCCGAACTCACGAACTGTAAGATCATGACTTGAGCTGAAGTTGGACCCTCAACCAACTGAGCCACCCAGCCGCCCCTCAATAACAACATTTGAAAAGTAAAAGTCGAGGAGAAAAGAGAGGGGAACTTAAGCCATGGAGTTTAAAACCTGGCTCCCAAGCTGGGACAGTGGCCTGCCTCGATGCCATCTCTGTGGCATCTCAAGACCCAGCAGACACTAGGATTGGCCTCTAAATTCACTGGCACAACTTCCGCATCCTGATGGGCAGACGCTGGCCACGTGGAGGATTTCTGAGTCCTTCTGTAGGAAACCAGGCCAGAAAGTAAACACAAGAAAGAACGGACTCATTCATGCTGTCGCTCCCTCGTTTAAGGAGGCCTGACAGCCCCCGTGTCTGGGCTGCGCAAAGCCAGGAAGCCTTGGCCCTCTGTGGTCTATGCTGGGACCATCCACATGCCCAGGATACCCTTGGACTACCGGTCCCTGTGGAGCTCTGTGATACTCTCAAAGGGCAGGTGAACCTTACCCAAGGTCCAGGGGTCAGGGTCAGGGATGTCAATAATCAAGGGGGACCCACAGAGACAGAGCTGTGAAGGGGAGCTGAGGCTACGAACAGTGGGAGAAACAGTCCCGAGACGTGCCAAACTGCAGGCACCCCAAGTCTGCTTCATTGCAGAAGATAGAAGCTTACCGTCTGAGGCTGATCTTAAAGTGCTATGGATCTACCTGCTGAGTTGCACTGCCACCTGAGTTCAAGGTCCCCCCTAGCCCGCCCAATCTGCTGGAAGGTACAGAGAAGCATTGGGCCTCTGCACCACTGGGACTTAGTTGGCTGCTAAGACGACTATCGTTGATTTTGTATGTCTTCTCGCGATCTCCAGTTTGTCATACCTACCACCATACAATAATCTTGCTAAAATGCAAATTTTACTTATTTATTTTTTAATGTTCATTTTTTTTTAATTTTTTTAACGTTTATTTATTTTTGAGACAGAGAGAGACAGAGCATGAACGGGGGAGGGGCAGAGAGAGAGGGAGACACAGAATCGGAAGCAGGCTCCAGGCTCTGAGCCATCAGCCCAGAGCCCGACGCGGGGCTCGGACTCACGGACCGCGAGATCGTGACCTGGCTGAAGTCGGACGCTTAACCGACTGCGCCACCCAGGCGCCCCGAATGTTCATTTATTTTTGAGAGAGAGGGAGAGAGAGAGAGCGTGAACAGGGGAGGAGCAGAGAGTAAGGGAGACATAAAATCCGAAGCAGGCTCCAGACTCAGCTCAGAGCCCGATGTGGGGCTCAAACTCATGAACTGTGAGATCATGACCTGAGCCGAAGTTGGACACGTAACTGACTGAGCCACCCAGGTGCCCCAAATGCAAATTTAATTATATCACCCCTCTCTCAAAAACCTTCAAGGACTCACTCCTCAGTGCCTGCTGGATAGTCAGCTTTCTTTTCCTGGTCTGTCATCACCAGCTTTCTAGCCACTTGACTTCAGTCAAATCAGCCTTGTCGACTTGCCATAGAGGTGAACACAGATTCCTCCAGACCTTTGTGACCGTGTGCACACAGGTCCCTCCCCTTCCCCAGAGCTGACCCAGCAGGGGTCCTACAACAGAAGTCTTGGTAGAAACAAACTGAAAAATGACAAAATATATAGTAGACATCTTTGCAAATGTAGGGGTTACAATAGAAAAATACCATCGAGAGAGCTAGAGGAAAACGTAACCCCTATTGAAGGTCATATTTCCAACCTGTTCCCTGAAAACACCCCTCCCAGAAGTGTCAGGAAGTGGGAAAGCAATCTGTGTCCTCCCCAGGAGGGTCCTAGTGTACATGAGCACATTTACAGTTCTGAGAAGTCCTGTCATTTAAAACAAAGAGACAGGGGCACCTCGGTGCCTCAGTGGCTCGGTGGAGTAAGCGTCTGACTCTCGACTTTGGCTCAGGTCATGATCTCATGGGTTGTGAGTTGGAGCCCCGCACTGCCAGGGGGGAGCCTGCTTGAATTCTCTCTCTTCCCCTTTCCCGCTCATGTGTGCGTGCTTGCTCCCTCTCTAAATAAATACAATAATTTTTTAAAAAATTAAAAAAAAAATATGGGGCGCCTGGGTGGCTCAGTCGGTTAGGCGGCCGACTTCGGCTCAGGTCACGATCTCGCGGTCCGTGAGTTCGAGCCCCGCGTCAGGCTCTGGGCTGATGGCTCAGAGCCTGGAGCCTGTTTCCGATTCTGTGTCTCCCTCTCTCTCTGCCCCTCCCCCGTTCATGCTCTGTCTCTCTCTGTCCCAGAAATAAATAAACGTTGAAAAAAAAAAAATAAATAAATAAATAAAATTAAAAAAATAAAAAGAATAAAGTTGGCTCTACCCAGCCTCCCATGCGGCTAGATGTGGCCATGTGATGAAATGCTGGTCTGTGGAACGTGAGAGAAAGGCTATAGGTTCTCGGTTATATTCACACACACACAAAGGAATATGCTCACCCCTCTCCTTCCCCTTCCTCCACCACAGTGACTGCAGTGCAGAGGGGTGGGGAGCCGTCTTGAATCATGCAGTTAAAAGCAACGCAGAGCAACAAAGGCAGAGCAAGAAGACAGAAGGAGCCCGAGGTGGCAACGTCACAGAGCTGAGATGCCACACCACCGTGTCCCATTCTATGAGAGGAAAAAAAACCTATTTCTATCGTGTGTAAGGTGGTATTATTTTTTACCTCTGTCACAAGCAACCAAACCTATATTGTCACAAATGCAATCACCGTTTATTATCTTGTCTGACTGGCATAGTAGGCCTACCATGTAGGGCATGCTTCTCCACTTTCTAATTGTGTAGTTCTTGGGGAGTCTTCAGGACCCCGTTTTCCTGTCCGTGGTGATGGTTGCAGGGGTGTACACATGATCCATGTCGGCCAAGCAGAACTCCCTCTGGGATCTTTCTATTCGGAGCTGACGGGGAAGAGCTTTTCTCTTTGCCGGTTATGACGCTGTAAGAATATGAGCTTGGAGCTTCCTAAGGATCTAGTTCCGGGCTCCTGTGGGGATTGATGACCTGAGAGACCTGGGCCAACCAGCATAGTCACGTAGGTCAGATTCCCCGGAAACAGACCGTGAAATGGTCTGTGTGCGAGAGATTACTGAGGAGGGTTTCTAGGGGTGCCAGGAAGGGAGTGGGGAAAAGAAGGAGGTGGGGAAGCTGAGCCATGGTGGCATTTCAGGTGAAGTGTGAGCCCCACCTGGTCCCTTAAGAAGCTCTGAGTGTCGATCATACCCTAGGGCTATCCTTGCCTCGGGCAGGAAAGTAGGACCTGTCCTCTCCCGAACTCTCACTCACTAAGGGCTGCCCTGGGGGATGCAAAATCCCAGTGCCTATGGAATGGCTCCAGGAACCCCAGGGCAGTCTTCCCTCGAAAGTCACAGATGCAGGTTGAGGAAGACCAGGGAGCCCCCAGGGTTGGGCGCCTAACCAGTGAGAGGGCTGCCAGAGGGTCTGGACAAGGTGCAGGTGGTAACTGCCACCAGAGCCCCCGATGGAGCGAGCCTGGAGAGCCCTTGTGTTTCCTTCCCCGGGTCTTGACTTCACTGGCTCAGGCCACAGGCTCCCGGGCATTATCAAGGCGCTACTGAGGGACAGAGATGGAACCAAGTTCAGGCCGAGGCCTGGCACCACTGACTGTGCTGAGTGGGCAGCTCCGGGGCTCCGCGAGGAGCAGTTCGCAAACCCCCCACCCCGCCCCCACCCCACCCCCACCCCCCGGGGCAAGCAGGCGGCCAGCTCAGAGCCAGGTGGGTCAAGGCCAATGTGAAGCTTGGGTTGGTGGGGGTTGACGCCCCACTGTGGGAGAAACTGGAAAAGGGTATGCTTG